TTATTTCTGTAACCGAGATATATTTCTTTTTTTAATATCGAATGACTCAGGTCAGGTGAGGTTATAATACATTAAATTTATTTGTATTTAATATATTATAATCAATTAATTTTTGTTGATTTTTACAGCCCAAAGCTCTGAGAGGAGAAAAGCGTTGCCTACATTTAGGGTGAAATAAATAAGTGTTGCCTACATTTAGGATGATTGTGAAAAAATTAATAAGAAAATATATGGAAAATGTAGTTGTAAGAGCAGCGTATTACTCTATAGTGTTTGAATTAAGCAGTAGCATTATATATAATATTTCGTAAATAGTAATAAAAGACGTTGAAGTTGAAAATTAAATTCTAAAATAATAATCGCAGCGTTGCTACCATGTATTGTTCGAGCGCCAGCACACACAAAATTGCTAAAATGTAGAATATTATGAACATAGCCCGAACTGTGGGCGCTCATAAAGTGTAACGAAGCTATTTAGTGGTGGCCTCATTCAACGCACAGCCAAGCGTTGCCGCAGTTTTGCACCTGAGAAACACTCATACGCCACGTAGTACTTATGGGCGAACAGAACACAGCGTATATCGCCAGCAGGCTGGCCGGCAATTATTTTTACATATACACGAGTACGTAAGTGTGTTAGTGGCCGGCAAGTTGTGCGCGACATTTCAAAATTTCAATTTGCACTCCACCTTAAGGGAACTTTTGCACTGTGAACGCCACTTGCAGCTGCGACGCCAACGCGCCTTAGACGCTTTGCTTGTTATGTAATTAAATTTCACAATTGTCTCACATTCGCTTTAATATTTCTTTCACTTGAATAATATTTGCACTTTGCTGCCCTGCAGAGGGCAACAGATGTAACGAAATCACACACACACACAGGGTGTTAGCCGTTGCAATTTTGTATATCAAGTACGCGTGCACTTAGCGATCGCTGCCGTATTGGAAAACTCGTTAGCTAGATTTATTTAAATTGCTGCGTCTGCTTCTACTTTTAGAAAAATCGAAGAAATACCGAAATGTCAAGTACATTCGTATGTGTGAGTTGTTCGAATTATGCACAAGTCGGCGGTTCGGCGTAGACTGAAAGTGGCGCACAAGCGCGTGGCGTTCGAATGTTTGGCAGGCAGACTAGTTGGCTGGCAATTTGGCCGGTGGCGTGGCTGGCGGGCGAGGTGTGGCGCGCGGTGTGATTAAAATCAACATGAATCGGTAACAGTTATAGCTTATTATTGTTGTAGTGAAATGAATTACATTCCACCAACCGGCGGGTAGTGCGGAAGAAAGACGTTACTTGGCAGCGTTGCCAATGAAAGACATGCCTTCACATGCACGCGAGTACTTTCGATTTTTGTTGCTTTACCGATTTTTCGTTAGCTACCCTTCCTCACTATCCTTTTTGAAAGCACCGATACACTACCGTCACATGCGCTCTACTGCTTGCGTGTCAGCGCACGCTACTTTCGGTCACTAAGTTACCAATAAAACTACTGACTGAATGGCGAAGTTTAGCAGCTGCATACTGCCCTTAGCGCAGGGGTTCTTATGCACCTACAATCATACATAGCCGTTTGTGTGCGCTTTGAAAAGTTCAGGTTATATTTTAGGTCAGTTTGCGCTCGCCAGGGCAACGGTAATTGCAATGCTTTCACTTTTTCCTTTTTTTTGACGAGTTCGAAATAAAGTGCTTACTCTATCTTCTTGTTTGTTGGCTTTTCGCTTCTGTTTTGGTATTTTTGTGGCGTGTTGTCCGCACAGCATAACGGTATAGACATAGGTAAATGGCACAGGTGTGCAGGAGAATGTACAGAAATTTGTATATTCGAAAATTTGGTTCAACAATTTGGTTGTTGTAGAAAGCGACCTACATTCCTCGGCTAGTGTGGGTCATATTCTGGTGGTGTAGACTTTCAGCTTTGAGAAATGTTTGCAGCTATTTGCCGAGGTTGAACTTACTTTGTGCTGGGATAATATGGAACATATTTAGTTGATTTGAGCTAAGACTGATTGCTGTTAAGTTTTTAAAACCCGGAAGAAAGCGTTGGATACCCTCTAAAAAATATATATATATATAAGACAGCTAAGTCTATTTAGCCATGCCCGTCTGTATATACGTGAACGAGTCGCTCAGTTTTTAAAATACCCATCTGCAACTTTTCACAAGTCGTTTGTTTTTTTGTTATTGTCGGAATCGCCGATATCGGACGACTATAACATATAGCCCCCATACAAACCGATCGATCAAATATGTGTCCTTGTATGGAAAACTTTTTTATTTGCATATCTTCACGAAATTTTGTACGAATTGTTTAAGAAAGCAAGGATACAATCTCCTAAGAAATTACTCAGATCGGATAACTATAGCATATAGCTGCCATACAAACTGATCAAAATATAGAGTTTTTATACCCTTTTATGCTATAAGAAATGCGCTTGCTATGGGTATTATAGCTCTGTGCTCTTGTGGCAGCTATTTCGCTGCTTTTTTCCCAATAACTACGGGAAATACGAGTATATGTATGTTCTCTTTAGTATGATGAACATTCAGTAGGCCTTGAACCAGCTCGAGGCGGGTACGGAAGTTGCAGGAAAATAGTTATTCTCCAGCAAATCAGTTTCATGTTGAAGGTCCAACATTGTATGGCAATATCCTTAAGCATTGCTAACATTTTCTTTTTTTCCATTTTTTCGAACATAGTTTCGAAAACTATAGCGCAGTCAATAGAGCGTGCTGAAGTAGTAATAATAGCAATATTTTCACGAAAAATATACGACATGGACTTCATGAACATAATATCTATAATCTTGTGTTATTTAAAATTGAAGAAAATTTTTTCAGTCAACAGACAAATAACCGAAAGTATGTTGTATAATGATTAAAAATGAACAAATAACCTTTCAAACTCTTTGACGAAAATATGGGTTACCTTCATACTGTATAAATACTTACACTACCCAATTTACCTAAATTACCTACCAAATAAATAATCAATGAACTAAAAATACACTAAAAACTTTTCCAAAAGCACATAAAAAGCCTCCAAACTGAAAGTTTTCCATTAAAATAGTCATATGCCTCCACTATACTCACACCTTCTACCCTTGTAAGGGATATGCCGCATAAGTTGCTTCACGCAAGGTCGCAAATCAAAACTATGCTTACTTTGTTGCTGTATTTAGCCGTTAACGACCTATAATTTCTAATATTTCTTTTGTTACCGTTTTCTTTGCCCGCCTTTAATCAGTTTTATGGACGCGCCAGAAAGTTTAGCAAAATTCTGTGATCGCCCACTTGAAGTTTGAATTACTCATATACATACAAGTACATATGTGTGTACATATGTACATATATCCATGCATTTCTACAAGCACCAGGCATTGGTTGCATACTTTTATTGGCCGTCAGCGGGCAGCACACCTGTTGCAGGCAATGAAACTAGCCTCTAGTGTGATAATCAGGCTTATTTAATAGCAAATGCAGAATTTCTTAATTTTAAAATATACATGAGCGTACTCGAAACAGGCGACAACTAGTTTTCCATCACGTGATCGCTCAATGTAGTTTTTGCGTAATGCAAGTAATGCAGATAATGACGATGAAAATAAGAGTGAATAAAATTCTTTTCCGCCGCCTGTAAAATTCAGTCCAACAGCGTAATATGAATATCTAACATAATCTAACTACATATTATTACAATTTCTCAGAAATTTAATTATTTTCCTAACTACAAGGCAAACATCCGGCATTCGCATGAAGTTGAATAGTACCAAGAAGCTTCGCTTCGAGTTGTGAGGAAACATTTTATTTTCGCGTGAGTGGATCAATGCTGCGAGGGAAATCGATGCACTTTTGCTGGCTCGCAAATTTACATAGGAACTCTGGGAATATATGTACATATATATAAATTTTCGTGTACAAAGTTAAGCAATTCCCAGAGCAGTGTTCTTTTCAAGTGGCCTTGAAACTGTTCCAGTCAAGAATGCTTAAAAGGAAATTGCAAAGAAATGCATATGAGAATATTGCATTACTAGAAAGTTATCTCGTTGTGTAAATATGCTTACAAAAGACACTTATGCACATCGAAAACTTTGCTAGCATTTGCGGAATTGTAGTTTTTCGCGTGAGCTATCCTCCCATGTGTATAAAAACTGTTGGCCAAACACAAAATTGTTTTATAAAAAAATATTAAAAAATTTTATTTATGCATCTCACGTAAGAGAGAGGGTAGTCGAAAAAGTCTTTTCGTACTTTATTTCAAAGATCTAGTTGAAGAATCCCACGTAAAAGAGAGTTTTTTTGGCTTAAAGCGGTGCAGTTTCTTATATAATTGATGAAAATATAACTCTGACATTTTTTCTATATTCTATAATACGAACTAGGGCTTCTTCGTTGGAGTTTGTACCCAAAAATTTCCTACAAAAGTCACAAGAGCTCGGTTCAAAAGAAAAATAAAATCTTTATTTTAGTTTTCAGAGTTAGAAATATTTATTAAGTGAAATAAAATTGCTAGTTTCTGCAAATACTTTAAAAAATGATGAGGTGCTGTTTAAAGATCACTGTAATCCTTTCCAAAGAAGAAAGGCATCGAGCTGGAAAATGTCTTGAATTGAAAATTTGGTAAACAGTCACAACAGCTTCCTGTATTTAACATCATTTTAATCCACATAAAAATAAAAATATACACTCATTTCGCTGCCTACAATTCTCATTATTAAATTTCCGTACAGAAAATGCTTTCAGTTTTGCTGTATATCTTCGAATGCCTTACAGTACTACAACTTTGTAAATGATATATCCATGTCTTTGCTGACGCAATCAAGCATAAAGCCACAGCAAGGACAGACCGCACTATTGTACTGAAGTGCGTAAAACCAAACAAAAGTGGACGCCGTTGCAGCGCCGCACTTCGCACAAAAAGCGTGCGACATGGCGTATGAGCAACTTTTGTTTGCTGCTAAATGAAATTGTGACTTGTTGAAAATACTGCTGCGCTACTTACTTGTGACTTAGCGCGCCATTCTTCAGATTGTTGCCAACAAAATTTGTATGGTTGCTGTAGGGCAGTAGTGGTAGTTGTTGTGGCGGTTGCGGTTGCAACAACGCTGGCGCTGCTATGCTCAACTGAGTGTTTGCATTCAAATTGACATTGGTTGTGGCTGTGCCATTCAGCGCTTCGCTGGCTGCATTTGTAGTGGCGGCGGCGGCAGCGGCAGCTTGTCTTTGCTGAATCGGTGTGTCATTGTCGCCCACACCGGCTGTTGTCGCTGCGCCGGTGGCCACGGCGGCGGCTTGTGGCACGATAATCGCGCTGTCGGATGTCTCCTTCGACACTAACGGCGTGTTTAACTTTTCCTCATCCATGTTTAAGCAAACCGCTTACTAAACAATAGTTTTAATTTTTAAAGATTTTTAATATTCTTTTCTTTTATTCTTTTTTGTGGATATTTGCACAATTTAGCTTCTTTTACACTTTAAGCTTTTTCTATTGCACGTTTAGTTGATTTTTTTTTTATTTCCTTGAGCTCATTAGCTAACGTTTTGCGAGTTAACGACCATTTGTAACGCGACAAAACTTCACATAGCGCGCACAATGACTTTCGTCTACAATTCACTCATAATTTATTCAATTTGATTGTTACTCTTGCCTCGCAAATATTGTACACTTAAATCGCTTCACTTTCCGTGGCATTTACATGGCATAATCGTCGTTTAGAATTGGTTTTCGCGCTAGAAAAAGCCGCCCGGCATATTTTACTGTATTAGTCTTGTATTTCTGTAGTTTTAACGGTTGCTACATTTGACTGAAGTAGAAATTTTGCGCTGAGGCTGCCAGAGTGTTGCTGAAAAGAGAATTGATATAAAGTTGTTAATAAAATGTTAACTTCGGTATTAAATTATTAATTTCAAGAGACATTTAGTGGAGATTAAGAGCAGAAGAAATAAAGCGTGGCATTTAGTAACACAATTTTATGAACTCGAGCCATAGGTTTCCTTAGAACTTTTGTGATAGGTGAAATGGATATTTCTTTTGCCGAAGATTTATGGTCCTCGCAACACTTACAAATTTCAGCGACGTTGGATAGCTCATGAGAGGTCTCTGAGAGTATTCGACTTGGAAAACCGATTGCCACGCTGTTATAAACTCGGCTATAACTGAGCAATAACTGGACACCTTATAACTCTTACAATGGTGATATGGACGAATAAACCCTCAGTTTTACGCTCATATCCTATTGTGGAAGTATGAGGATACCCTCACCAACACCACCCTAAGCCAAGGTGTTGAGGTACCCGTGCCGATGGCTGAATGGTCAGTGGGCGGTGATAAATAGCTGATCGCTAACGGGCTCCTCGGATGCCCGGGTGAGGTCGGAGGTATGAAATGCCTGCTCGACACATACCGGCCTTGGGGACGAGTGACCAACCCATTCTGACCTACTCGTGGGATCAAATATGAACAAAACAAATACAGCAACAACAAGGACTACCACAACAACAACTACAAAAAACAATCAACTTGTTGAGAACAGCGACGAATATGGGAACAGCTTGGACATATCGGAATCCAATAATGGAATCCGAGAAGGACGACCCACTCGCCTCCAAGAGATGATTAAGAGTTCTACCGGACGTACCAAACACGGTACGGTATCGGTAGTTACGGCAGATGAAACCAACAAACAAGGAGTGGAAGCCTCCACTTTCAAAGCTGTCATGCACCAACTAAAGTGCGCTGGTAGCTAAAGGAGACAGCTAGCGCAAGAAACCCAAAAAATTCCAGACTCAACTGAGGTAAAACCGGTGTCAGCGGACAGCCCTTAAACTTGGTAAAATGGCCAAAGAGCAGGCACCCGGCACCCCAGTTGACGAGGAGGAAATCGAGCGATTCAAACAGACAGTGGAGATTTACTAAAGCAATCCGAACCTCAAGATGAAAGCAAAAACCCGAGCAGTTCCCAAAAGGTGTATGGCTCAATCACCGAACTGCAAGGCACTCTGTTCGATTTCGGCTGCAATAATTCAAAGCTTTTTCTATTTTTTATTTAGTTCGTCGCTTGCACGCAAAGGAAGATATATTACTTTTCATTTTATTTCCACTATTTGAATGTTTTAAAAACAACCGTTAGGTAAACTATAAAAAAACAAAATGCAAAATCCCTTCATATACTTACATATAAGTTTATTGTTTCGTTTTTTAGTTTTTTTTTTATTCCTATGCTTCTCTATCTAATCACATGCGCTAAACAAGTTTTTATTGCAAAGCATATGGAAGTCTTCACTAAAGCTGGCAGCTGTGCGCGTCGACTTATTAGCACAACAACTGTAATTTTTATTAAAACATAAGTATTTGCACTTGACCCTCAATAAACGCTTTTAGTGTATGTAAGCTTGCGCAACGCCGATTTGGCTGTGGAAGAATGCCACGAAACTATTTTGATATTCTGTTAGCGTGCGGCTGGCATGTTCGAAAGCCAAACAAAGCAATTCGAACTATTAGTATGCTAGCAATGAGCAATGAAGGGTTCAAATTATTGTTTATATGTGTGCTTTCGTATTTAAATGTTAATAAAAATTTATGTAGTCTATTAAGTTACTTTTGAGTAGTTGGACTTTGACTGAGTTAATAATGAAATGGTTTATGGCTTGTGAAAAGAGCAACATACAGGAATACTTTAGGTTGAACAAAACAAAA